CAAAATGTCACAGTGGAGGTTCATATGCAGCCTTTTCTTCAGTGTGGTTTGTCGAATTGACACCAGTGTTTGGTAAAAGGCAGCAAAGAGCACAGAGTGTATCCTGTAAACAAGCTATTTATAAGTTCATAACAACATTCACATTGCAGTTAATACTGTTTTCATTCCTCTCAATAATGCCAAACACTTACAAGTATGACATTATCGCTGGCTGTGTATCATTCTGCACTTTTGAAAAACAACTTAAAATACACTAATTCTACTACAAGAAAGGGAAACAAAACTGCTTCCAAGTATTTTTGGTCAGAGAAGGGAATTAAAACAAAAAAACGAAATGGAATGAAAACAGAGGGCTTCTTTTACAAAAGCCAAACCGTAATGTGGAAAAGGATTTGAAAAAAACGCCAAAGAATGTCAAATGAGATTGAGAAGACTATGATAGAGGACAAGCAGGCCTCAGTGTTTTGCGTATAAGCAGGGAGCGACCATATTCATCAAATGCAGCAAACAGAGTTAGATCGTTCTTCTTCATGCATATAAATGGTTACACACAGTCTAAGTTTCACCAATAATCTGAGCAAGGGGAATTTGAGAATTAAGCAGGGTTCTTACACCTTTTCCAAAGTCAAATTCAAGCACTTTTCAAGCATTTTCAAGGTGCATTTTCAAGCTTTTCAAGCATCTTACAGCTGTTGTAAATTACATATTTATATACACATACTTATACTCAAATGATTATTTCCCTACCTCACATTAAATCAGATGTTCTTTATGCTATAAAGTATAAACAACCAAATGTGTGTTTCCTAATAGCATTCTACATGAGGATGAAAAATGAAAGAAAAGAAAACTAAGTTTAATATTTCAAAATGAGTGACCCATCTGTACGTAGACTGGGCATCCCCATATAACCTGGCTGAGCCAATATAAAACAATCAGCCAAATAACTTTTCAATACATTATTGATTTTTGAGGTACTTTTAGGTTGGCAGTAAACACAAGTCAGAGGTACATGGTGTACTTCTACTCCACTACAGTTCAGAGGTACATGGTGTACTTTTACTCCACTACAGTTCAGAGGTACATGGTGTACTTTTACTCCTCTACAGTTCAGAGGTACATGGTGTACTTTTCCTCCACTACATGTATTGAATACCTTTAGTAACTCTACAGATGTGGATGAATGATGTGAAATATAACCAAGTGTTAAATCAGACTTTAGTTCCACCTGGAGTAAATTCACAAGCTACCCTGCAGTATACAAAGTCATTCAAACTAGCTGCACCTTTACCAGCTTTGAGAACACTTTCATGATCAATCATTATAAAACATATCATATATATTATTCTGAAATGGACCAATCTGCACAATGACTACTTTTACTGTCGCTACTTTCACTATATTTTGATGATAATACTTTTCTACTTTTACTTGAGGAACATTTTGAATGCAGGACTTTTACTGTACCAGAGTATTCCTACACTCTGGTACTTCTACTTTTACTAAGTACAACATCTGAGTACTTCTACTTTTACTCAAGTATAAGATCGGAGTACTTGTACTTTTACTCTAGTACAAGATCTGAGTACTTCTACTTTTACTTGAGGAACATTTTGAATGCAGGACTTTTACTGTAACAGAGTATTCCTACACTCTGGTACTTGAGTACAAGATCTGAGTACTTGTACTTTTACTCAAGTACAAGATCTGAGTACTTGTACTTTTACTCTAGTACAAGATCTGAGTACTTCTACTCAAGTACAAGATACGAGTACTTCTACTCAAGTACAACATCTGAGTACTTATTCCACCTCTGGTAGTGTATTAGCCTGAATTGTAGCCACAAAATCACGCAGAGCTGCATACAAATACTCACAATTGTAACAAATGGAAAATAATATTTACAAATGTGTACAATGATTTGTAGGTAATGCGGACTACTCAAGACACCTGACTTATAAATCTTCAAAGGAAGACTGTGTTCATTCTACAATTACATGGGATTAAAGCTACATTTAGTTTTACTTGTATAATACTTCAAGATGTTATATTAAAGCCTGTTTCTAAAAGTATCAACCATAGCGACGCGGTCAAATCCTCAGTTTATAATTTATAACAGCTTGTAAAGGGAAGAAGAGGCACCTCTCAATTCGCACCCTGCTCTTCCGCAGCGCCGCTCCCCCTCCCTCCGGCTGAAATTATGAAGTAAAGGCGTATAGTAATCATAGATAACACGACAGGGTCCGGGACAGTTTGTTTTCAAATAAACAAAGTATTGGCTTTCAGAATATTAAACTTGTTTCAGCAAATTCAGATGATAAATACAACTTTGAAGCTTGTAACGGCATAATTACAAGCGGAGAACGGAGTAACTTAACATCAGAACAAGCATAACAACAGCCGGTGTTTCTTGTGAGTGTTTCCCCGGTACACAAACACAATAGGCCTACATACAAACGCAAAAATACACAAACAAACACCCTGATTAAGGGCACCTTGACATAAGCAAAATGTTTTTTTTTTGTGTTAAGGACTTTCCCCACCCCGATTTTCCAGCCAGTCTGGGCTCTGATCCCGCAAATTCTTACTACTCTACACCTCAGCGTAACTAGTGTTGTGTTGCCTTACCATTCAGAGCTCCTGTGGTAGTAGTAGCCCTCGATCGTTGCTGTGGATTTCTGGAAGCATATGTAGTAAAATCCGGCAAAAGAAGCTCCGCTGATGTCTTTTATTGTGTGGTCAGGGACCAGGAACTGCTCCTGTGGGGACGGAGGGACAGGGTGAGGAATAGCAGCAGCTGCGGTTCATGTGCGGCGACTTACTTGAACATATGGTCAAGCTCCATTTAGGCTGGACCTTACCTTCCACCTCATGAAAATAAAGTCAGAGTTCTTCAGATCCTCGTAGTCGAAATCATCCGAGTTGAACGTCTTTGCATACTGGTAGAAGGCCTGGAACTTGCCCTAGACACAAAAAGAAAACGGATTATGGCACGGTAAACCAGCCAGATGTAGAGTCTGTGTGTAGATTATTAATGGAGTGTAACAATCTATTTATGTGAATTAAAATATCCCTGAAATGATCAACGATCCAGTTACAATGTCGCAAATTGCAAACATTGATACATCAAGGTTCTTTATTGTCAAACTGACATAGCTACAGAGTAATTATGTGGTTGAAAATCTTATGTCACAGGCTTCTCCAACAATGCAACATAATAATAATACAGATAGTAAGAGTAATACAAAAAGAAAAATAGTTATAAAATAAAGTGAGTATGTGGAATAGTGCAGTACGAGTCTATATACAAGTTATTGGAATGATATATACATGTCTGCTCTTTAAGATATGCACTCGTTTTGAAATTCCTAACTGATCGACATTTGCTATTTAAACATGACACATGTGGCACTTTATAGAAAAGAACAGAGGTATTTTTAGTTCATTTTATCACGAAGAATATGTTTTTTTAGTACCTGGAAGAGCAAAATCAAATCATGATAATGGAAACAAATCGTTTAAGACTTTTTGATATCTGATCAAATTGTATCGTGTTTAAATCTTTGGTATACACCTCTAAATATGAATGAACATGTTTTCTCCTTACCCAGTGCTTACGATCCACATCTTCATCTGCATCCCATTTCCGAGTGAGAAACGGCCGCTTCCTGCTGATGATCTCTCCAGCGAAGAACGTGGTCAGAGTCGGGTATTCCTGCGAGAGTGAAACGCAACAGGAAGAGATTGGTGTTTTGTTTTGCTCCGGTGCAACTCATCTGATAAATGTTGGTTTGTTTATTTAAAAAAAGTATAGGTTATAATTTGACTACTGATATGAACTGCTTATCTTCAATCACTGTTGTCATGCTGTTGGATTTGCATGATACTGTAGGATAGTAGTATCTATAGTAGCCTAACATGGAACACAGCTAGAGTGGACAAGTGTTTATAATAGGATCCAGTATAAATCATTAGTTTGTGTCTTTAAAAAATCGATTTACTCCACTTACCTCTGTCAGTCCTTTTATCTTTAGGTAGCCACACAAGTAGGAATCCTCCATGGTGACATGCTTAGAAGGAAAAACACAATCAACAACTGAGAATGGGAACATTTACCTCATATCAGTTGTCATTTGAATTTAGGACACATTTAACAGACATAAGGTTGGTATGGCTTTTCCAACAATGCAGAAGGCAAACATGGTTAAACCTTTATTATTTAATATACTCCATGGTAACATTGAATAACATGTCTCCTTATGATTGAAAATGCTAGTAAACATTAGCTAGCCCTGCTACATGGACAGCTAGTCGAGTTACTCAACCACAGGCCACAGGGCTCACTGATTCCCCAGCTGTCAATCATCACACCGCCCGTTTGACAGATCACCAAATACCCCCCTTTGACAGCTTACCTAAATAACAAAAATATCTACTTTTAAGAAGCCTCACCTGTAGAACAACCTCCACGTCGTACGAGTTCCCTTTGCTCTTCTGGTGGCCCCTGAACCTGGAGCCGCTGTACAGAAGCGAGGTGACAACACCGGGCTGCTGGGTGTTTATCGGCGGCGGGGGGGATAAGCGAGGCCGAGGATGAGAAGGCCGCGGCGGGGCTGAGGTATCCAGCGGGGACAGGCATGGCTCCCGGTCGCTGGCTTGGGCACCGACCGCAGTCGATTGCCGTCTTAGCGATGGACTCTGTCGTTGTCTACGGAGAGGACTAAAGAGGTCCAACAACATTCAAATCAACCCCCGATCCCTCCACAGTTTAGTTTACCAGGCGCTTCCAGAAAAGTAAGTGGACTTCGACGCGGCACCGTAGCCAGCAGAATCGGGCGCTCTCATTGGCCAACTGAATTCACCTTGGTAACATCCTCAACGCTCATTGGTTCGACGTGCGGAAGGCTTTATGGGAATATTTGAGTGTAGTTTGTTCCAGAAGTACTACGGTGATTTGAAGCACTTGTACAACTACATTTCCCAACTGTGATACATTTTTCGCTGTCTTACTAGTAACAGAAGGTCACACGCATCATGCTTTTGAACGAAGGAGCTGCAAAGGAAGACATACGAAGCAGTGAATAGAGACATAACTTTATACAGATAGCCAAAACATTATCAACAAGAACTGCTGCTAATTTGCATTCATATTCACTCGTTTAAAATGTGGCATTTAATTCATTGACGAACTGCGGTCAGAAACGGGTAGTAGCTTAGCCTGTCAGCTAGCATTTCCTAATAACATTGTATTTTAACATAACTGAAAATATGTTTAGGCGGCTTGTTAGACTTCAGGGTCCGCTCGGAAATATCCTCTCTCCAGATAAAGTGTGCCCAAGAAATCAGCAGCTTCGGTGTGCTGTGAATTATTCCTCAGCCTTAGTAGGTAAGATGCATCAATTACATTTTTGATTAAAATCTGCTGCAGCAATACATTGTATAACTTAACCTTTTTGTGCTGATGTGATGATTTCTGCTGCTTACAGAAAAAGGAAGATTTTATAAAGATGTCAGTATATCCCAAAGTGAAGGTAAGTCAAACAGAGTATGATAGTTATTTGATTGAGAATACTAAGTTAGATGGTGTAGAAACAAGCACTCTCCACTGTTAAATGTGTTTATCCTAGGTGTCTTTGTTGGTGAAAAGAGCACTTTTAATCATTTAATGCGTTTGATATTAAGCAAGTCTCTCTAACATTGTTTTCACTTTCATTAAGGTGGTCTATATGAGATAAACCTAGACAGAAGGAAATTAAAAACTCCTGGAGGAAAGCTGTTCACAGCACCAAATGAAGCCATGGCCATCGCTGTGGCAACCGAGTGGGATGCTCAAAAGGACACACTGAAGTACTACACAATGCACCTGGTACGACTTTGACTGGGAACTGGAAGGGGGTTTAAAGTGTCTTCCTCATTGGATCAGAGCCCAATTGAGTGTTTCTTGATATTCTTGTGTTGTGTTTTTCAATTACATACATTATGCATTTGGGACTCCTTCAATGCTATTGAAAAATATGCAATGTGTTGATTTACATGTCATGATAAGTTGAAGGTTAATGTGCGAATGTGAGAAGAATTTGAGACCAGAAAACTAGCTCTAGGTGACACTCGATAGTTTTTGAAGATGTATGAGAAGCCTTCATTTAGTGTATTGACGCAGACACATTTTTGCCATGGTTTTTAGTTGTTTTTTCTACTCCTAAGACAATATGTTCAGTTAAAAATGTAATTGACTGAAAGAGTAATGTTGTAAATTCTTCCTGCAGACTACACTTTGCAACACAGCTCTGGACAATCCTACCCATCGTACCAAGGAGCAAATGATCAGCGCTGCCCTGAAGTTCCTGGAAACTGATACTGTCTGGTAAACAACTTATTTAATTATTCCATTTTCAAACAGCATTATATTGCTTCTAGGGATAACAAGTTTTTTGTAAATCACTTATACAGCTGGAGCTAGTGTCAACACTCTAGATCAGTGGTCGGCAACCTTTTTGATATGAAGTGCCATTCTAAAAAAAAATGTTTTATCAGCGTGCCGACGATCGTGAATTATCAACTGGGGGGGGGGGGGGGGGGGGGTGGATTTGAAGAGCTCGACGAAAACACTCGTGAAAAGTGATGTTTAAAACTCAGTTAATGGGGCTCATTCACTGGCGCTTCCACAAACAACAACCAACATAATTGTTACATTCAAATGAAGTACATTATTCAAGTTTACATTAACTTTGGATAATAACACGGGGGAAATGAGCGGAAGCTCTCTCTTTTCCTCTCTCCCCCTCTCTCTCTCTCCTGACAGCCTGTCAGTATCTCATGCAGCTCACTGATCCAGTAATGAGTGACAGTGAAGAATAAATATATGTATAACTAGTTCCAAAGGTAGATAAAATAGCTAAGTGTGTTAGGTCTAACTCTTGTGTGTTTTGCTCCGCTCACCGGTCCGTCACAGCGGGTGGAGCTGCAGGATTTCTGCTTCACAGACTTTGCAAACCGCTATTTTATTGTCATTTCGGACACCTTAAAATACTGCCAGACTGGTGAAGCGATTTTGGCGAGCTTGTTTTGCCGCACACAGAGAAAAGTGTCATGTATTTTACGTCTCGCGATCGGCCTTTTTAGAGAGCACCGATCGATCGGCAGAGAGTGAGTATCGGCCGATATCGATCGCCACGCAAAAACTGGGGCATTTTTACAGCTCCTTATGGGTAATGCAATTTGTGAAGTGCTTTCCTCTGTGGTGAAACTATCAGCACTGCATTACGGAGGAAAGCGGCAGAAAGTCGCCTGGAGTTAAAGAGAGTGGGGCTGCATTGCGTGCATGGCTTCCTTCTGCAGGTAACGGGGAGACGCGCTCTGGCGGCGGTCTCGTTCAGGATCCGAAAATAAAATAAATATTTTGTACACTTATTCCACTTATTCCTAGTGTGCCACTGGTTACGGTGCTGCGTGCCATTGGTGGCACGCGTGCCAGGGGTTGCCGACCCCTGCTCTAGATTTACGGTCAGTATAGCCATAAATGCATGTAATGACTGCTTTAGATGGGTCATTTTGTCATTTAATCCTTGACTTGATTCCTTCTCAAGATGTGCTGTCCTGCATTCTGAATAGCTTGTTGACTTTACCTGTTTTTGGTTATTTGCAGAAGTTCTTGGTAAATTGTTTAAAGTGCGACCCTTTCAGTTGTTGATTGAACAATTAATGGTGTTTATGTTTTGTGCAGTTACAGAGTAGATGAGCCCCACAGTTTGGTTGAGCTGCAGAAGAATGAGTGGGACCCTGTGCTGCACTGGATTGAAAACAGGTAACGGCAGCATTCGTTTCGGTAGTAGAAAGGGCACATACAGCGATATAGACCTTGTTAATTAGGCTATTGTAATACACTTTTTTCTAATTGTCTTTATCTTCTACTCTATTGCAGATATAATGTCACTATTGGATCCTCGTCCAGTATTTTGGGTCCTGAGATTCCAAAGGAAACAAACGACACGTTTCGGCAACACCTGAAGTCTTACAACTTCTGGTCCATGACAGGTAAAACAACTGATTCGACATAAGCATTTTTAACTATAGAGTGCTGCACGGATGGTATATCTTTCTAGGCCAACCTAAAAGATGGCCTTGCGCTAATTGAAAACATAAAGCCAGTGGGATTTTTTTTCACCTGATTTTGGATAATAGCAGAAAGTAACTATGAGTCAAACAACAGTCTTGGAAACAGCCAACTTTTTAAAGACATGTTAATGCTTCAAAATTCAAGTTTGGGGTATTCTGTATTTCTTACAATGCTACCAACGTAGAAAGTTACCAAATGTCTTGATTTTCAAACTCATTCCTGCAGCACTCTATTATCTGCTCTTTTGTTTAGATGATTTACCTGTAGTGCTAAATATTATCTTTCATACTTTGCTGACAACGTATCTAAGGAAGATACTTAAGGTGTTTGTAAAACATGTGAAATAATTGTGATATTATGTAAATTTTCTTTGGTAATGAGTATTATAATAAGCTTTTAAAGTATACTTGAGCTATACAGTAATATGGTTTCTCCTGCGCAGGGCTTGAGTTTGTGATCACCCAGCTGAAGTCTGTTGTCCTGGCGATCGGGGTGATTGACAGACATCTGAGTGTGGAACAGGCTGTGCTGCTCTCCAGACTGGAGGAGGAATACCAGGTAGGAGGGTAGCAGATTACAATTTGCAACCACATTCTTTTATTCAGCGTTGTTTACCATATTTCTTTACTAACCATAAACAAATGAGACCTTGTGAACCTATCTTATGACACTGATATTGTCATTGCTAGTGTTTCTGACAATCCTGAAAAATCCCATCACTTCTCTTGCTATTACAGTCATTGCTTCTGCGGTAAAAGTTTTAAGTGACTCAATTGAAGAGCTGTTGGAAGTGTTTTTTTTTCTCTTTGCCACCCCCATCTGTTATTACAAGAAACTCAAAAGGTTTGCTTGCTTTTTTCTGGAAGAACGGCGCCCTCTTCTGTTTTTTTAACATTTTACCCATGAACCCTATGCTGGTAGCAGTTATCATTTGTTCTATCTTTTACAGCTGTATAAAGTTGCTTCAGTGTAACAATGAAGAAACACTAAGGATGACATGGTGCTTGTCCTGCAGAGAGTCTTATTATTTTCTGTATAGTCATCTTACTTTTTTTTCCCCCTCCTGCACAGATAAAATACTGGGGAAACGTGGAGTGGGCCCATGACTACGAAAGTTATGAGCTGAGGGCACGGACTGCTGCTGGAGCTCTTTTTGTTCACCTCTCATCTGAGAGTTCAACTGTCAAACGCAAACTTATGCAGAATTGAAAAGTGTGTGCCCTTAAACTGAGAACACCTCAGTTTATCCATGCTTCTTTATCCATTCAGACAAACACACATACACACCCTGCTTGTTCTGTTTAGCAGTGACAGCTGCTGTGTCTGTGATCTGTTATAGAGTCATCTCACTCCAGTGAAAACATTGGCTGTCTTTCTGCAGTGTTTATACGTGGCAGCTGCCAAGTGTGCCACCCCTCACCGAGTTTCCAGCCGGTTCTCAGGCGCCCGTGACATTTTGGGCACTGCGCATGGTTTCAGGAGGATAATGACTAATGCTGTTGTCTATTTGGTGGATGAATGTTAACTCCATGTCTGCCTTCTGTCTGCCACATTTTAATACTGCAAAGTGCATATGCTATTGTAATAGGAGCAACAGATGGAACATACTGTATTCCAATTATTTTCTGTAATTTAAATTCATTCATGTTTTAGGTATTTTGGCTTTTTTGTGGTAACTAATGAGGTAAAAGATTATGTACATGGATTAGTATCATCTCCACTTCACAGTTCTGTTTCTTCAAAAAGTAGTATTTAAGCAGAAAAGTATATTTTCTGCATCCTCATACAGTAGTCATGTTCACATACAGTGCTGAAGGTGTTGTTGCTTTCCCGGCTGGAGATAAATTCAAATAATTACTTGTTTGTCTGTGCCCTTTCCACCTATTGTAAGCAAAATGTTATTAAACTTTATTGTGAATTAAAACCCAAACAATTCAAAAGACTTGTAGATGTCTGTCATTAATGTGCATATTCAATGTCTGTATCATTTCGAGTGCTACGGTCATAAAAAAGCAATTTCATTGGTATTGATGCAACCTTTACTGCTTTTTATTTACAATTAACCCAACTGTCATGATGGATGTTCTAACCGTCCAATCACACTAAAGGTCAGGATCTCTTAGCCAATGACGTTGCTCTGTGGGCGGGACTTAAGGGACGTTTCCTCATGTATCATCATCATCATCCCATGGACTGACTTGTTTGTTGTCGAGCAAGATGGAGTTCCTTTTGGGAAATCCTTACAGTACCCCTGTGGGGCATTGCATTGGTATGTAAACCAGATGTTTAGGAAGCGACAACTCGCAAAGGTTGATAATTATGTCCTAGAAATGTGTATTATGTTGTGCGGTAGTCATTAGGCGTTACGGCTAGCTACATTTAGCATGCTAAGGTCTCTGAATGAGTTACAGCTGGACCGTTAGCCGCCTAGCTAACTAACGTTGGTAGTTAACCGTATCATGTGTTGTCATTGTGCTAGCGATACCTACAAAGACTTAATGTCTGTTTTCTTTCAGTATATACTCGTATATTCAGTGTTAACAACAATAACGAAGTCAATAACCTAAAGGAGGACTGTAAGCTACGTTAGCTTAAGCTAGCTAGCCGCTTGTCACCGCCTTATAATTGGTCTGCTGTGTTTACCTTAGTCGTCCTTAAAGGTTATTTTCGTAACTGACTACTTGTCTGTTTCCAGAGAGAGCTACTGATGGCTCTCTGCAAAATGAAGACTGGACCCTTAATATGGAAATATGTGACATCATCAATGAAACAGAGGATGGGTGAGTACCCTGGGAAAGAAAATCAATGAATATCCTAATGTTATTGATTAACTCTCTTATATGCACAGGTGTGGTTCTGTCTTCCTTGATCCTATGCTGTTGATATACTACATTGCTGTAGAAAGATATGTTATTAAAGTATTTTCTTAATATGTGTCCTCCTAAGAGAAGAAGCCCTGGCTGTGTAAAGTGGATTTATGTCAGGCCTCAGTGCTTATCTCACTCCTCCATTAACCTTGTACTGTATGTTTGAGCTGGCCAGGTACTGTTTGAATAGTAGGTTGTAAACTGCCTTAGGTGGTTCTAGTCCAATGCAGTGGACCATACAGTATTTCAGCAGTCTATAAAAAGATGTCTGACTCTACTGTTTTTCTTCTCTCTGGGGAATATAAGGGGTGTGATTCACACACTGTGCGAGGCTGTTTTGATTTGATAACAGTGGTGAAATAATCCAAAAGTTAATTATTACTATCATAGAGATTAACAGACACATTGTCAATGTTGCAGAGAATGTAAAAAAAGTCAAAGAATCATTGACATGTTCTTTTGCCTGGTATTTGCTGTTTTGCTGTTGTGTCAATCATCCTATCAGGGCCATTTACAAGGGCCATTTACAAAGGCCATTTAAGCCCACACCCATTATGTTTTTGGTAGGCATCTGTGCTCTGCTTTGAATGACTTACCAAGAATGTAAAACATGTGGTAATCCTTTTATTCCAGTGTGTTAAAGATGTGCTTTTCTGTTTGTGTCTGCAGGCCAAAAGATGCCATTAGAGCAGTGAAGAAGAGGTTGAATGGCAACAGGAACTATCGGGAAGTGATGTTGACTTTAACGGTGAGTTAAAAGTGGGCTAGAGGAAGCTTTATTTACATGTTGCAGTAATGCAAGTATTCATGTTGTCTTGTTCTCTTACGCTAAAGTTCACAGAGAATTTGCAATCCAAAATATAATTCCATTCTATTTCTGCAACACTCGGCCACACGAAGTGATTAATAAATTATTCTCTTCTGCATCCATCAGGTCCTGGAAACGGGTGTGAAGAACTGCGGCCATCGTTTTCATGCATTGATCACTAGCAGGGACTTTGTGGATGGCGTTCTAGTTAAAATAATCTCCCCTAAAAACAACCCGCCTACAATCGTACAAGACAAAGTACTCGCGCTGATTCAGGTAAGATAGGTGGCTTGTGTGTAGGTAGGTTTGTTGCCTTGTGTTGTACATGTCATAAAGCTTAAAGGCTGGTATCTCTGAGTAAGTCAGTTATTGAGAGGTTTAGTCAGGTTTTCATTGAAGGTGTTTAGTAAAGTGTGTGTGGGTGTGTGTCATGTCATCCCCAGGCAGAGCCTCAGGTAAAGTACTGTGTCGTCAGGGCTTCTGCCAGGAGCCGCTCTAGTTACCTGTCAGGGCTCGGGTTACGCTGCAGGCTCATGTGGGCTGCTCTTATTTCCACCAGGGGAACCATGTGACTACAGCTTAGCATGGATCCAGGAGGGGGGGGGGGGGGGGGGGGGCACAACAGTAGCTGTGAGGCAGAGGAGAGGAGCTAATTGTTTCTTGTTTGTCTCATCATTAGGAGGTTCAGCTGGGAAACTGGTGTTAGAAAATGTACCGAACAGCATTATTCCCTTAAGGCAAAAGTATTGTTAATAGGAGTGTGAATCCTTCAGTGTCTCACGGTTCAATAAAGTATATAAGGGTGCTAATTTCAAGATCTACTTAGGTCTGCTTTGGGCAAATTATGTAATGAAAGCAGATTAAAGTGTGCATAAGATCATGGAATATATCAACTGATTGCAATAATGCAAACACACCAAAAGGCAACATTTATTCTTTTTAAACTTGCACTAATATACATATTTTCACTAAAAACATTCAAGAACAGCATTGAGTTCAAGTTATGCAAAGAATGAAAATACTGCCTGTTGCATAAATCTGCCTTTTTATTCCTGGCCAATTTTCTAAACCATATTGTAAAACGTTTTGCGTGAATTTTCAACTAACACATAATCCAGATTTCCCATTAATTATATCCAGTTGTGCAGCAGACTGATGTTGTGTAGTTAGCTGTCTAACTACTACCCGTCTCATCTCTGAGGCGTTAATGTGTTTACATTGGAAGTGTGCACAGTTGATATTCCTTATTTACGTTTATATATTCCATCAAATCAATTCCATCTCCCACCATCTTTGGTTAGAATTGTTCACACTAAGTAGGGAAGCTGTGTTTTAGTTCAGGCTAGTTTAGGCTTTCAGTTGGGAGTGACTGAGTGGAAGAATTTCAGATAAAGAACACCCTAAAAGTCTAAAAGCCCTTGTATTTTTCAAAAGTGTGTCATGTTTTTTAGCTATTGTAGTGGCTGAGTTTAGCTTTAACCTGCATACTGGTTAGACAGAAAAACCAATAGCTTTGTGGTTTACTGAATGTGTTCAAGGGAAGGCAAACAAACAATAAGTATCAGAGGTCTCTTTAACAATTCTGTTCCAATGCTTTGTTTGCTTTGTCAGCCCTCTCTTAACCCCTTGTCTTTTTGTTCAGTCTCTCTCGCTTTCCTTTTAATTATTTTCTAATTCTCCCTACTCCAGGCATGGGCCGATGCGTTCAGGAGCAGTCCAGACCTCACAGGCGTGGTCCAGGTCTATGAGGAGCTAAAGAGGAAAGGCATTGAGTTCCCGCTGTCAGAGCTGGAGACCCTGTCCCCGATACACACACCTCAGAGGGTATCAATCAATCAATCAATCAATCAATGTTTATTTATATAGCCCAATATCACAAATGTTACATTTGTCTCAGTGGACTTCACAGTTTGTACAGAATATCAGTATGACAATACGACACCCTCTGTCCTTAGACCCTCACATCGTACAAGGAAAAACTTCCAGAGAAAAACTCCACAGTTTAAAGGGAAACATGGGAGAAACCTCAGGGAGAGCAACAGAGGAGGGATCCCTCTCCCAGGACGGACAGACGTGCAATAGATGCCGTGTGTAAATCGAAGAGATAATACATTTTACAGCGTAGGTAGACCAAATGTTTGTGTCTATAATAAGAAGATGAATGGAGCCATCAGGGAAGTAGTATGATGAGAGTCAGGCAGGACCACAGAGACAGGTTCAGCCACGACTCGAAATCCAGGACTCAGGATAGAGGATCCAGGACACAGGACCACAGCAACAGGTTCAGCCACGACTCAGGATCCCGGCGTAGATATAGACACCAAAAGGAAATTTGGTGGAAGCTGGGTTATTCTGAACATGAGAGTACACAGGTACAGACAGACAGAAGGAAGAAGTAAGGTGTCCCCCGACAGTCTAAGCCTATAGCAGCTAAACTAACGTGTCTCCGTACATGCACATGCAGGGTAGGAGGCATCACACTTGGATCTGTACCGACGTTTCTGTGTCCAAGATTTGATCACCTATATTATCTCTTACTTCCTAGCTGACATCTGCTCCAGAGGGAGACTCCACCCTCCATACGTTCAGCGCCCCTCCTCAGCCCCCCCCACAGGTGGTCCCTCCGGCCTACATCGCCCCTCAGGTCCCAGTCCTTCAAGCCGCTGGATCCATCAATCCCACACCTGAACAGGTACACTGTTTCTCCCATAAACAGACTCAGTGTCGGTTCAGATAAGATATGTATATAATATATAATACCTTGCTTTATATCTTGTTATTGTTAATTTGTAAATTCAACATGTATATTTTCTGCTTTCTTGTTAATTTCTTGTCTTTTAATTTGTATTGTACAAAGCCATGTCTTTTTATGCTGCTGCAACACAAACATTTCCCAAATTTGGGTCAATAAAGTACTATCTTATCTTATCTTATGAGGAATCACCTAATAGCAGCCTGCAGTTTCCTTTAAAATAAAAGGACTCATTTTAAGTATCTACTTTTGTGCAATGCAAGAAAATAAAGTGTTCTCCACCTGTCCAACCTGACCAATCAAAATGATTAAATACTAAAGAGTTTGAATACACTGCTGCAAAGTGACATTGCCCTCAGCCGACCTCTTTGTATCAGTGTTGCTAGGCTAAGCTTGTGTTAGTATTAATAATAGACAACAGTGAACCCATTGCCTTTTAGCAAACCATTTCAACTCTTTATTCAGTACTTAGTTAGTACTTTAAGCTAACTATTTTAACTGTTAATTCATACATTTAGGTTTACTATTTTCTCTGTTTATCTATCACTTTTAGCTTACTTTAATAAACACATTTTAGCCAACTATTTAAACTTTTTATTTGTGACTTTTCACCGTCTATTACTAATTATTTCTCACTCACTAGTTTAAATACACTCTTAATCGCAACACATGGTCTTTTTTTCTGTTAAATCAGACTTGTGTTGGTCCGATTATGTAAGTTAACTAAAGACTTGTAAGCCTTTTTTGCTTTTAATCGTGGTCCTTAGCACACTTCATTCAAAGCAAAATCTACATTATAAGTTGAATTAAGATGAGTTATTAGTTACGCTTTCAATGGTACTTCTGGTTTGGATTCCCTGTCTTAATGCAATACTGTTCATTTGATCTCTTAAACACCCGTTGCCTCTTTCACACAGATCTGCCGGCTGCGCAGTGAGCTGGACGTTGTGCGTGGAAACACTAAAGTGATGTCGGAGATGTTGACAGAGATGGTCCCGGGCCAGGAGGACGCTTCAGACTACGAGTTATTACAGGCAAGGAAACACTTGTGTGTGGGTCTACCTGTCCGTGTATGTGTGTGCGTTCTAAATTGTGCTTGAGCAAACCTATGGCAAAAGATTTGTCAGACATGTACAAAGTAGGGATGCTCCGATCGCCGGAATCAGTATCAGCCAATACCGATCGCCGATCCGATCGAGTGGGCGGGGCCTATGGGGATCTTCCATTTAAAGTGATGTTTAAAACTCAGTTAATGGGGCTCATTCACTAGCGCTTCCACAAACAACAACCAACATAATTATTACATTCAAATGAAGTACATTATTCAAGTTTACATTCACTTTGGAAAATAACACGGGAGAAATGAGCGGAAGCGCTCTCTTTTCCTCTCCCCCTCTCTCTCTCTCTCCTCACAGCCTGTCAGTATCTCATGCAGCTCACTGATCCAGTAATGAGTGACCCAACAGTGAAGAATAAATATATTTATAACTAGTTTAGTTCCAGAGGTAGATAAAATAGCTAAGTGTGTTAGGTCTAACTCTTAGTGTGTGTTTTTCTCCGCTCACCGGTCCGTCACAGCGGGTGGAGCTGCAGGATTTCTGCTTCACACACGTTGCATACCGCTATTTTACTGTCTTTTTCGGACACCTTCAAATACTGCCAGACCGGTGAAGCCATTTTGACGAGCTTGTTTTGCCGCGCACAGAGAAAAGTGTCATGTATTTTAACGTCATGTGATCGGCTCTCTCGATCGGCATTTATAGAGAGCACCGATCGATCGGCAGAGAGTGAATATCGGCCGATATCGATCGCTAGATACATCCCTAGTACAAAGCATTATGAAAATACTAATCTGAAACTACTATGCCTTTGTGTGTTTAGGAGCTGAACAGGACCTGTAGATCCATGCAGCAGAGGATAATGGAGCTCATCTCTTGTGTTTCCAATGAGTCAGTGACTGAAGAGCTGCTGCATGTCAACGATGACCTCAATAACATTTTCCTACGCTACGAAAGGTTAGAAAACAATCAAATCCAGGTTCAACCTTTGGAGAAAATACGTATGCACATTGATAGAAAGAAATGTAATTTAGATTATATCAAATGTATTGTTTTGAACTGTATGATAGAAAAAAAAGCCTACCTATCCTATCTTTACCCTGATATCGTATGTTTACTCAAATTTGGTAAGGTATATTTTTAGAGGGGGCTTTGTAATTTATTTTGCCTTTTCTTTGCCTCAGGTATGAGAGGTTTAGATCTGGAAGGTCCTCGGCTCAGAGCGCCAACAACGGGGTGAGTCAGCGTTAGTAACTCAGTGGTTAATAACACCCGATGGTTGCATCACTAAAATACCGCGGTGTCTAAATCCTCCGAACAGTCCTTTGTTTATTCTGTGCTTTTGTTTCCTCTCCCTCTGATGTTGGCATCTTTCAGTGTCAGTAATGTAGACATGCATGTTACATTACCAGGCAGGCTTTACAATCTGTCTGTTACCTATCAAGGATTTACCAGATCTACATGTCTGATTAAATGGAAACCAGGCAAAGACATTTAGTTTCATAATAAAATACAAACACATATCTTTTTGATATTCATTTTGGTCTTCCACTGTTTTTCTACAACACAGTCGGAGCAGGCCATTTAAGTTCTGTCCTGTAGGGGGAAACCTTGACTATGGTTATACATTAGTCAATGCAAGGAAAAGTTATTGCTCTTTGGGAAGTCCTGAAGTAGAGCTGGTTGTTTTTTTTTAAAGATCCACTCATGTTTGTGCCAGAATAAAGGCAATCGGCAGTCCTGTCACAGCTTAGGAGCGCGGTGTACGCCACAAGGGTTCTTTAAGATTTAGGACAAAAGACCAAGACCTGTTGAAAGCCCAGTCTCAGAATCACTTTCACATCTCACCAGATTAAGCTTAGGCTACTCTATTGATATTATTAATGGTAATACACGATTTGTAGAATTAGATTTCAGTGGTGGCTGCGTAGAATCGTTTTAGACTCCTATATTTCCCATAACTTTAAAGTGCAAAAGTCTACAACATTCAATAAGTAAAAGATGGATGTCATATATATTTTTCGATTTTCATGTAGAGATATATTCTGCTTGAATCCATATTTGTTACAGTTTTATACCTGTAAGTATAAGAGCATACATATCTAAATCTAGATGGAGGCACACATTAGTTGTATAGGTCCTTTTGCTTTAAAATGACATGCCTGCAGTCCAGTTGAGGTTTTTTCTGACTTCAGGCTATTTCCTGTTGTTTCCACCTCCTTTAATAATATCTTACAATGTACTAAACCCAAAATCATGTTCACACACACACACACACACACACACACACACACACACACACACACACACACACACACACACACACACACACACACACACACACACACACACAGCTCTTCATTGGGTTTCCAGTTCATCAGCCATGCTATATCTTCCATAGTTTCCATACCATGACATTGTGTCCCTGCACAGCATGCTAATGGTATTCACTGTCTCTTCCTGTGTGTTCTTCTGTTCTCCTGTTACTGTGGCTAGCTGAGACAGGCAAGTATGAAAATATTGTCCCTAAATGCCCAGCGTCACCCCCCCCCCCCTCCCCACAACGAAACATGGCTAAATAATATGGGCCCCTCCTCCACCAGTAACCATCACCCCCATATGGCATGTTTTGACTATGCAGCCCCCAAAGATACGAGGAAAACTAGGGATAAACTGATGGTGACACATTTTTAAAAAGGCACTGAAGCTATTGTTTCTCCTACTATTAGTGTCATGTTTTGCATTACATCAAACATCATGGTTTGGGTTTTACAAAATGTTCTAGATGTGTTTGCTCCTCCACAGCCCACAGATTAAATCTCCCCTCCTCCTACCTCACTGTACATCGACTTTCTCAAGGGGATTATCTTTCTTTAAAGCACATTTAGGGACAACAAAATACTATTTAACAACAGTCTAATATCAAAAGCTATTCTTTGAATGCCCTTAAGAAACAGTACTTCAGAAAATAACTCCCCTGCTATCCTGAGTTACAGACATTTTCATGCTCTCCTGAAGCTAACCATGTTCACTTATTCACATCACGCACCCTCATCTTTTTACATTTCCTTTCCCCCCGACACAGTCAATGAATCTGTGCTGTATAACCCTGCCTTTCCTTAGCTTCCCACACAAGGATTTGTTTTGCTGCTCCCTCTCGTCCTCTGCATTAAGATAAGATAAGATAAGATAGGACTTTATTCATCCCGAAGGAAATTGTTCCACAAATGCAATAAACACAGCAGCACAATAATAATAAAACTGTACACTAACAGTGCAGTAAAAAGAGCAATTCAATAACTACAGGAAACATAGACGGTCACAGAATGAATGTAACTATTAACAGTATTAGTATTTAGATAGACAGACAGACAGACAGCAGCAGCAGCATAAAAAACACAAGGCAATGTACATAAGAGAAATTAAGACACAAGAAATAAACAGTCCAAAATATTTCAGAAATAGAAATACAATAGCATTAAAAAGTTAAAGAATATAATATAAAATAAAATAAATGTGTAGTGCAAAAACCGTAGTGGTAATTGCGTGATTTCACGTTATTTATCGAACATTAATAATAATAATAATAATAATAATAATAATAATATTGCACATGTTATATAGCAGAGTGTTTTGTAATGATGGTAATGGTATTTATATTGCACATAGGGGGGGTGTGGAATCTCTCGAGGTTTTCTTAAACGAGAGCGACTCATCAGTTTCCTGTCCTTCAGGTCCTGAGCGAGGCGACGGAGGACAACCTGATCGACCTCGGCCCCGGCTCCCCGGCGGTGGTCAGCAACATACCCAACGTGCCCAACGCCCCCCCCACCAGCCTGCCCCCCTCCATCACCGCCCCCCCCAGGGAGACCCTCCTCTCCGGCCACCCTGGCCTCCCGCCTGGCCGGCCTCGGTGCGTACACTCACACACTCTGAGACGACACATATGACTTTCTGGGCGAAGTTTTAACGTTTTCTGGCAAAAAAAGTCACAGTTTGTCGTAAAACTGTTGAAATATAAGACTATGAAAAATACGCAACTAGAAAGACTACAAATCCCAGAATCCCGGTCCCGCATGCTGGCTCTTACGGAACCGCCTAGCTCCCCTTGTGTGTATGTACAGCTCTCAACATGCCCAGACTTGGAGTTAGGGCTGTGCGATTATGGCAAAAATCATAATCACGATTATTTTGGTCAATAATTGATATCACGATTATTAAATACGATTATTCATGACTTTGAAAACATCCATTTATTGAACAGCATCTTTTTAACTGTTGATTTCCCTGAGCGTATAATTCAACTGAAAAACCAATACAAAAATAAATAAAATAAATGATACATTTATATCTACATTTAAATAAATAATATCAAAATAATAAATACCAATAAACAAGATCAACAAATATGTTTGCACTTCAACAAGCTACTAAACATATATAAATATGATAAATACAAATACATTTGATCAAATATGTTGTAGTGCACTGTCACAACCTAGCAAAGCAAAATAATCGTTTTTTTCGATTATGTTGTTTTCGTAATTGTGGCAGGCCAAAATCGTAATTGCGATTAAAATACGATTAATTGCACAGCCCTACTTGTAGTGATTTTCACCTCTTTTAATACTTTTCGCCTCATTCTGAAAGAAAGAAGTGAAATGTGCCAACGTGACGGCCGTTTTGGTGTGTGGTGCGAGACGGGAGATGTAGGTCATTGAACGGTTTCACACAAAAAAGTGTTACTTCACAGTTTTACGACACAGTTTTATTTTCTTGACTTGTAAAATTATCTTTTAAATTGACAAACATCATATGTGTAATTCGTGGCACAATTCAAACGGGATCAAAAGATAATCTTTCTCTCCCCATTGACTTCAATACATACTTTTTCCGAAATAAGGTCCCATGGAGGTCCCCGGGAAAGGGAGGGACTTCGCCTCTCTATAGGATTTTAGTAGGAATTGCAACCGTGCTCGGGAGTATCAACCGGAAGTCTCACAAATATGACTTTCTTCTGCGACAACAAAGTGTAGTTGTCTCGAGTTATAAATGGCAGAAATTATACTTAAATCAATACATAAATTAGAATACTTTATTTATCCTGGAGGAAAGTGGGTTTTTGGACTGTTGCTTCATTTTAGAATGAAATAAAATAACAGATAAATAAAAATAAGAGTGAAAATATTTATATAAACATAATAAGTTAAAGTAATAATGTAGACAGATAAGAGATGTTCATTTAAACATTCTAAGAACATAAGAAATTGAAGTAAAATGTGCAATCAAAGATAAAATTGAATAAAATTATCACTTAAAAGTAAATTAGTCATTATTTTCCTTATCAATAAATCATCAGTTTATTTCTACATTTATTGATTTATAGTGTCTGAAAATTGTAAACAATGTTCGTCCTAAATGATGTCTTTAAATGTCCAGTTTTATTAGATCAATCTGCTATTAAAAACAAAAAGCAGGACATCTCGATATTTTCCTAAAGACAGCCTTTTCAAGAAAAAAAAAAAAAGCCTGTGTACAAACCTAAAAGAATAATAGACAATTCTCTATTAAATGTGTTATTAATGCAGTTCAAGACAATAACGTGTGTTTCCCTCCAGACATGGGAGCTGACAGTGTGAGCAGCACCCTGAGCTCTCTGTCCAGCTGTCAGCCGCCGGGTCAGGACGACTTCGACGTGTTTGCTCAGACCAGAACCGGAGCCAAGCCCGAACCACGCATCACGTAAGGACTTCAGAAATTCATCGTTAACTCTGTTTTCACATTTTAGGCACACGAGTTTAAAGTGTGTGCTGTTTGAGATACAGAGTGTAAATTAAAGGTCCCCTATTACACTGTTTTTCATCAATATATTATAGGTCTCAGATATATACAAACATGTCTCTGAAGTGTTTGGCTCCAAACACCAAACAGATCATTGCAGCATCCCATAATCCCCTCTGTTTCAGCCCTGTTTCAAAAGTGCTGATTCTCTGTCTGTTACTTTAGATGAAAATAAGGAGCCCCTCCCCACGCCCCTCTGAGAGATATTTGGTTAAAAAGAACGCAATGGTGCTCTAGGAGGAGATTCAGGTGATAAGGTGTGGGGGGGGGTTACCTTGGTTGGTGATTGGCTAATGGTTACACAAGACAAAACATCGTTATGACATCATAAAGTGGCCAAAATCTGATCAGCTCGTTTTCAGACAGGTTTTTATATAAATGGATCAGGACAAAAAGAGAGAGAATCTTTTTTCCTGAAACTTTCAGAGTCTCTTTACGCAGAGGGGACACATGTTGATGAAGAAGAGGGGACACATGTTGATGTAGAAGAGACATGAAGAAGAGGGGACACATGTTGATGTAGAAGAGACATGAAGAAGAGGGGACACATGTTGATGTAGAAGAGACATGAAGAAGAGGATTTTGCATGATAGGTCCCCTTTAAGTTTCTCTCCGAGGTCATTTTGAGGCTCAAATGTGCAGATTAATTTGTAAAAAAAGATATTCAAGCGATGATTCTAAAAGCCAGTTTTGACCTGTTTCTCTCAGGACTACAGCAGAAGACAGTATCACCTCTGAAGACCCCCCCCCAACTCTGGACGTGCAGCAGCCGACTGCAGGAGTGGTGAGTCTCAGTGACACGGGCTTTATGTCCAGCGTGGGCTTTAAATCTTACCGTGTGTTTTCAAAATCACACAAACAACTTTCAGAGTGTGTTTGTATGTGCGCCACACAGCTGTACCGGACACTAATGCTTTGACTTGTGCTACTAACCACAAAGTTGAAATAGAAACAATTTTGCTTTAACTTAATCATTATGAGCTAATGTTGATAACACAATCGAATGGCTTCAAAGAAGGGGCATAATCTGCTCTGAGAGTGGATCGTGTAAGCCTCTTTTCACCTTGCAATTCTGCTTGCCTTTGGGTATGATGAAGGTTTAATTTAACGGCACAGGAAATATGCATCGACCGTTGCGCAAACAAATCAAAAAGATAACTTTTGTTTGGGAATCAGTAGCTGTATCGAGTACCAAAGAGAATCTATATAAGCTATTTGCAGTTACTATCCCAAGTAGTGGAAATGACAGATGGTGGAGGGTTAGGTGTGTAAAACAAAATGCAGTGTGTCCCGTTCAGTTGGTATTTGCTTGGCAGTAATTGGGTGCCAAAAATAATATGATTTGTAGACTGCGCGGGAAAGAGATATCTTAAGTATTCAGGCTACACCTCGAGCTGTTGCATGTTTGTGCATGTATCTGTTAAGGTATTTTATTTAATGATCTTAAGGGCTACTTATTTTGAGCTGTTTTGCAACCTTTACTAACAAGACACAAGTCACTTAACCCTGCTGTCACACCTGACACTTGAGCGTATAATCTGTTTGTTTCATGAGCTCTGTGGGTCATTGACTGTGTAAAAAAATGATGAAATAAAATAATAAAGCAGGTGTTTACTGGCTGTGCTGTCAGTTGCTCGCTATGCTCCTCATCACCAGCTTTAGTGGATTCTCCTGCATATTAACTCCATTATCGTCACTGTGTGTGATGATCCACGCCATACAAACATCCCCATTTCTTTGTTTATTTTTCTCACAAAATACTTATGATTTAAAAAGTTCATTTAAGTCATATTTTCTGTTGTGTTCGGGGCGTTTCCCCCCCCCCCCCCCCTCCCCTTCCCCTCTCGATGCGGCCCCTCAGGGTGTCGGAGGCCAGTCCTCTGTCATGGATGACATAGAGGAGTGGCTGTGTACTGATGTGGTGAGCACGTCATGATTATTATTTCTGCCTGCAGTTCTCTCTCCTCTCTGATTTATCCCCAACTTTTTCTAAACCCAGAACATAACACATTCCTCCTCCATAACATTTCCTCACGTTTGACCAATCACACTTTAATATGGTGGTTCACCCAAAGTTACTAACATGTGTTGTGTGTGGACGAACTGACATGAGCATGAGGTCTTGAATGCAGATATGCATACAGCTTTCCCTCTAAAAGACTCACACCATGAAAGTGTAAATAATCTGGTTTTAGTCTGACCCTGAGATATCATGACAGACACTGAGTTGTTTATAACTGATACAAATAGTAATTCATGAACTTTAACACCCACATAAAACGTGTCTTTCACTGTTTTTATTTTTAGTTGTTGCTGCATATGTGATAAAATATTTCTTGTTGCTCAATCTTTAACTAACAACTGAAGGCCACATTCCTTGGTGAAAGACTGAAGGTGCTAGCAGGAGATGAAACAGTGCACATCGTGTCATTAGCCTAAGCTTAAGGGTGCATTTCACTTCGGTTAAATGGATTCCTTGCGTCCCTCACTTGCGTCATTTCCCTGCGACTAGTCCCTCCCACCAGGGAAGCATGGAGAGACGCAAGGAAACCACGAGAAGCAGGGAAATGAGTTTTAAGAGCAATGGGACGTCGTTTCCATCCGGAGCGTCACGTGAAGCGACGTCCGTTTGTGATGACGCCGCACAGCTGATCGTCTGACAGCAGCCAGATCAGTGCATGCGCTGCATCGTCCAATCAGTGAGCGATACACAGTAAGGGGGCGGGGCGAGTGTCTGAGGATTTCACCGGAGGATGGTCTGGTAGTTCCTCGATTATCTCTCCTCTGTTATCGCTCCTCGATCCTCGGTCCTCCGGCACGAATAAGGCCACTGGGACGGTACTCAAGATGGCGCAGACTAATCAACTTCCGGTGATACCGAGCCCGAGGAGCGAGGAAATGAAAAATAAGAGAAGTGAAACGCACCCTACGACATGTATAATTTGGTGTTTGTGGTCCAGAATGAGTGATCAGAATCAGAATACCTTTACTAGTTTATTAGAAAATGTACATTGTTATAGCAAAAATATTAAATAAGAGGCATTTTAAAGATGGAAATATGCAAATTAAAACACATCCAAGTGGATAACAATATTTAGCAGTATTTAAAAATATATATATATATATATATATATATATATATATATATATATATAAATAATTGTAGCATGAAGAAAGTAGTGGGAAAGCAGCCAGAAAGTAAACTTATATTGCATATTGTATTTATATATAAATATGAAGCATTGTAAGAGTTCATGCTCATTTCACACAAATGTATGAGACTGTGTTGCCGTACTGAATACTAATAACACCCAGTTGCTTTGGTTGAGAAACAACTGGTGGATTTGTTTTGGTATTCATTGGATTTTCAATGAATGGAAAATATATTTAAAAAAATCCAATATTATTATTATTTCTTAATTTATTTGTTCAATTTTGGGCAAGTGGTTCTGACGGGTAAGTGGCTCCTTGTAATGCAATCAAAGTGGTAAGTGTGTGTTAAATAATAATAATAATAATAATAATGGCCACATGCACAGCTTGGTTTTGTTTGTGGTGGTTTTCAGTGGACTAACTTCAGCAAAGTGACTCCCAGGTGTGACGGTGTTGTTTTTATTTCAACAGAAAGGAGATGAAGGGGAAGAAGGCGTGACCAGCGAAGGTAAGACATCACACATCTCCTTTTTCTCTCCAGGGTTGGGATCAAATAGTAGGGTCTTGTGACCTTTTCCTAACCTCTTTAACTCAGTGAAAAACGTCATGGGGTTAAGGAAAGATTTGAAGGAGAATTCATCACAATTTAAGAAATTATTTCTCTCTTGTTTTGATGAAGAATGTCTAAAATATGGAGCGTAATGTCATCATAAATTAACAAAGAATAGCAGGTAAAATGCTTGCATGGCTTAAAAAAAAAGTCATTAAGTCATTCATATATACAAATATGGTAATGTGTGCTTATCAGGATACATTTGATCCTGGAGAACCATGCTACTTTTTTAAAATCTAGTTTAAAGGTAGCAATGAATATCTTAAGTGCTTTGACAAAAAATCCATAAAAAAGTTTCATCTGTGGAAGCCGTAGTACTGTAAAAAGCACGACCAATCATCTTAGCCGGCCCGGCTAAAATAACTGGATGGCCTACCTGCCTGTCAGCCTTCCATCTGTGCACAAACTTATCTCGTGCCCTCATTGGTCATGTGCGCGTTCGTGTGTGTTGGAGGAGGGGCTCTGTAAGGAAGTGGCAGATTTTCTCCGGTTGTGTATTTTCAAATTCTAGCGCACTCAAGCTGGTTTCTCCAAAATTACCTACCCCACCTTTAAGTGGGCCACTAGATTTGGTATACTTGTAAAATTCACACTTGACATATTTGATCAGTTTTTATTTTATATTAGCTTTTTTAATTTGATATATTAATAGGTTGTCAGTTTTGATACGTTTATTTCTGTCTTTTGCACACACTTGTTCCTATAAGTTAATTTCTAAAAGCAGTTTTGTGTATATATATATATATATATATATATATATATATATATATATATATATATATATATATATATATATATAGATAGATATATATTATATATACATATACATATATATAATAGATATATATAGACGATATATATATATATATATATATATATATACTATATATACTATATATATATAGTATACATCTAATGAGTTATATATATATATATATATATATCTATATATATATATATATATATTATATATATATATATATATATATATATATATATATATATATATATATATATACATACATAAATGGGATGTGTCTTTTTTGAATGTTGTTGTTGAAACTGTTGTTTATGGAGCCCCTAAGGGGACACGGACAAAACAACAACATAGAGCCCTTCCTAAGTAAAAAAAACACGACTGCCGCCTTCAGTATTTTTCCTGCTGTGTTCCAACATCTCCTCTCTAATCCTCCTCTCCCTCCTCCTCTGATCCGACCCCCCCCCCCCCCCCAGAGTTCGATAAGTTCCTGGAGGAGCGAGCCAAAGCCTCGGAGATGATCCCCGGCCTCCCCTCGCCCCCCCGCGACGAGCCGGGCGCAGCGCAGGGGACCCCGAGCCGCAAGAAACCAGACCGACCGGAGGACGCTCTGTTCGCCATGTAGACCTCTGACCTCTGACCCCCAGCCTAAAACCAGCCGAACAGCACCACCAAGGACAGACTGACCCGACTAAACACACCCACCTCCGCTCTGGTTATCACTCACACTACACTCCTTAAAGAAAAGGGAACCGTTCATACTGTTCATTTCCAAAACCAAACAAAGGCCTATTTTCCTACGCCACCAGAGGATGGAGACTTTGAGGCAGAGCGCTTTAATTCTCCTTCTTCTCTGTGTGTGAAGAATATCCCTCCGCCTGCTGTGGACTGCAGAGCTTCATGTCGCAGCTAACATTTTATAAAATCTGCTTTCCTTGTCATTCTAAGTAGGATTTCTTACCCTCAAAGCATGCATTTAAACCCCCCCCCAAAATCATTTATAATTATAGAAACCCCCCCCCCCGAGATAGGTCGTTATTGCCCACTGAGAGACATGATATTGTTTTGGTGTTTGTATCGGTCCCTTTGAAAGTCAGTCCGAGTTGTAAATCTGTAAATGACAAATGTCACGTTTATTAGTCGTGTGTATATTTAAGCTACAGATGTTTAAAAAGAGGTGTTGATTTAATGTTGTTTTTGAAAAAGGGGTTTATCTTCCAGCTGCTCTGACATGAGGGATGTACCTCGCGGGGTTTTTCAAAAGGGAAGAGTATACATTTGATAATCTACTAAATTAATTTAAGAAGAAGGGAATGCCTGATCGGCATAATTGCGCACCAAACCGACAAATGTGTCCTTTTACCCTCCTCGAAAATCACATATTGTTGAGGTATTGACATTATTTTGGAGAGATTTTATTCACCTTAAGCTGCCGTCTTCATTTTTGCAGGGAGATAATTCAATCTGCTGAAAGAAATGCCGTTTAAATATCTCGGTTTTATCATTTTTTTTTGCTGAGAAGTTGTCATGAGTTAAAGAGACACATGCTGTCATTTACTGTGGATTCGTTAGATGTATGATTTATGGTTTAAAATTCAGTTTAGAGGACCAAAATGGTGCTTTTTAATTTTGAATTAAGCTGGAAAACACTTGGATAATTAGGTTTAACTTTACATAACTGGTCCTCTCTTTGTCTGAGTTGAACACGCTGTAATGAGAGTTCAGTATCACACTACAAAAGCTGTTTGCACATTTTTTATTTGTGCATTTTCTCCGTTATTTCCTCACGCCGACACCTTAAAAGGGCCTGACCTTTCCCCATGACATTTGTTTTCAGAAAGGAGCCGGGCTGCAGAGCTACAAATGAGATATTTAACAACGTTAAATGCAACATGTTACACAATCACGACAAGCTTAGAAACAAGCGTGCACTCTTGACAGCGCGTTACCTTTCAACCTGTACTGTAAATCAACAGATGTAATTAATAATAATGAGTTGGGAAATATTTTTGAGCAGAAGTGTAGAACTAATTTATTCAGCGCTCTTGTTTTTGTTGTCTTCGGATCATGTTATTGTGCAAAAGAAAAAGGGAGAGAATGAGGGATTGTCATAACGGCATGTGTTTTAGTTTTTATGTTAATAGAGTTTCATTGAAAATCCTTTTTTTATATACATTGCTGCTGGCTAATGGTTCTTGATTATGTGAGTATTCTGTTAAAAAGGGCGGTCCGACACGGAGTCAATCACACCAATTATCACATGAAGAATACATATTTGTATTGATCTCACTCGCAGCGTTACCTATCCTGTAACAAAGCATCAACATTGCACATTTCTGAAAGGGACACCTCACTTCTCCCTGTTTGTTTTAGTGTTCAGTGTGTGTGTGTGTGATCTGTAACGCAGAAACATTTTATCTCAAAAGAAGAGAAGAAAGAAGCCTCCAAATGTGTGTTTTTAAAAAAAAAAAAGAAGAAATACATGTTTCTCTCCCGTTTGACCTGGTTTCTATCCGTGTGAGCTCTCGTCAGTGATTTGTAACTGAATCTCAGCATCAGAACAAACCGTGTCTTTGTCCGTCGTGGACCTTACGAACAGAGATGCTGATAAAAGAGGCCGTGCTGTGCGACTGCTGCTTTCTGCCTCATTTCTCTTTGTGTTTGACTCCCGCATGAACTCTAATAAAACATTAGCAGTGTGTCCGAAAGCCTGTGTCTTCATTTTGTGTTCTGCAGTGCCACCTCTTCAGCCCTCTCCTTGGCATACCACCATGCCTCTTCAGATGGTAATATCTGAGGCTGACCTGCAGTAAACCCTCTCCTGAGGCCCCATGGGCCCCTCACCCTTTCCCCATTGGTCCTCAGGAATCGCCTCATCCCACAACATGGCCCCACACATTCAGCCTCGGTCACTGGAGCGTTTTCCCGGTCAAAAAGAGAGAGAGGGGTGTGTCTGTGGGACAGAAGAGCTCAGGAGCTGTTTCACTCAACATGTGCTGCTTTTCAATCAGACTGCACAGAAGAGCTGCTGGACTCCTCAACAGGTAAATTAAATGCGTTTGTGTCCTCAAGTTACTCAGGGGAAATGTTCACTTTTCAAAATGTTTAAGAAACAAGCTCAAAAATTGTGTTTGACTTCAATTTCCTCTGTGCAAGTGTTTTGGTTTATTTAAAAAAAAAAAAAAAAAAAAACGAATTTATTTAAATCTGAAGTAAAGAGGTCAAAAATGACACCATGATCTCTCTTCCTCCTTTCATGTTTTTATTTGTAAAAAGATAAATGTTAGTAAATGCATAGTATTGGTAGACGTCTTGTTGAATGTGGTCCTAATTAAGGAAATCAGTCACGTTTCCCAGAGGCACCATGTGCTGCTTGTGTGTGACCACAACTGCTGCTGTAAACACTTCTCTGGACAAAAAGAGAAATGTGAATTTAATGGTGTTTTTCTGTGCAGAGTTTTTTAGTGACATATGGGACTCATTGTGTGCATGACATCAACCCTAACATCTCTACATGTGTCGCAGAGGCCTGAGCGTGTTGGACCTGCAGGAACCGGCTCACAGAGGAGCAGAAACTCAAAGGATCTACTTTTTCTCTGCCTCTACTCCCCAGATTGATTTCTCCCCCCCCCCCCTGGTGTTTGTGACTCTTTTATCCTCCAGCAGTGCGTTTGTTAGTTAGTGAGCGCTCCCTGGTGGTGGGACTACAGAGCTCACACGTGTCAAAGGTCAGATTAACCAGAAAAATTATACAACTAAGAGCTGTTTTCTATATAAAGCAGGATACAACAATTATGTAAATAATATGTTTGGTAGTGCTGTTCCTCGAAATTAGAACATAACTATAATTTGCAATTTGATTAGGCAAATCAAAGAGATTTAATATAATTTATATATTATTTTAGATTATTTGTATGTATGTATGTATACATATTTAATTTACAGCTGTGTAAAATAAAATCTAAAGAATATTCTCTACAACAACATCCGAATTGAATCATGTGAAGAATGCACAGAGGGAGAAACTGGCCAGCGCTGTGGTGCATTGTAGTTGCATTGCATGTTGGGTAACTCAGTGCAATGGATCTGCTCTGCAACACAGAACTCGCTCATTCAACAACTCAAACAACTCAACCAACAACAACTCACGCACAGCAACTCAACAAACAACTCAACCAACAACTCAAACAAGTCAACCAACCAAGACATGATCCATTATTCTACAACTGATGTGACGTATCAAGTCGTTAAACTTACAAATACTATTGAAATACTATCTTTAGATAACTTATGCCTTAATATATATGTATTTACTGTATACAGAGTTGTTATAAACCCATGTTTCGCAGGTACCTGTAATCAAACTACATTATAGTTTTAAACTGTGAGTGAATTAGGGGTACATTCACAAATGACCCAGCAATAAATGAAGTGTTTCGAATGTTGACTTCATCAGCTGTTACATTAACATCTTCACTTATTCACAATATAATAGATATATGTGTAAAATTGACCATTCTGCATAATGACTACATTCACATTTGTTATATTTTAATGCAAATACTGCACTTTTACTTCAGTTACATATTGAATATAGGATAGGATTTACTTCCACCGTGCCTTTTATGTATATTGAAAGGTATTTCTGTAATGTTTGTGGTATTCTGCTGCAGCTGATATCAAACACAGGGTCAAAGGTCAGATCGTGACCCCTCTGGTGTCGAACCGTTCCCTGAAACTCTACCACAGGGGAAGTGTTTATCAAACGACTACGACAACTGACACATTTAAACAGATTTCTGGCAGATTTCTGAGTTATATTTTCATTTGAATGTCAAATTCCTGTTTCCCATTTGCTCTCCGGAATAAAACGCTCCTGGTATTCCTGGCAGGGATTCTCTCTAACAGGAGGAGTGTAAACACGCATCCAAACTGCCATTGATTGACATGCAGTGTTGATTTCTCATTACTGACACACACACACACACACACACGCACACACACACTTGAAGCCATTTAAAATATAATAGCATATTCCAGCTCTAAAGTGCATACTGGCTGTATACCTGTGTGTGTGTGTGTGTGTGTGTGTGTGTGTGTGTGTGTGTGTGTGTGTGTGTGTGTGTGTGTGTGTGTGTGTGTGTGTGTGTGTGTGTGTGTGTGTGTGTGTGTGTGTGTGTGTGTGTGTGTGTGTGTGTGTGTGTGTGTGTGTGTGTGTGTGTGTGTGTGTGTGTGTGTGTGTGTGTGTGTGTGTGTGATGCCTCTGGCTATTTCACTGTATGAGCTCGTAGCTGATACAGTCTTTACAGAGGATGGTTCATGGTCCTCCAACACAGAGACACAAAGTGTGTTGGTTTGATGTAATGATAGTGATATAATATAACGGAGAACCATCATTAAATGCAAATGTTATTTTCACATGTCACTCAGAGCCCATTTTATTTTGGTAAAAGTCTGTTTATTTTTTTTATTTTCATTACCTTTATTTCGTAATTTATTCTTTTGTAATTTGTAATTTTTTTAATGTAATTCTATTTGTATTGGATTTATCTGTATACTTATTATTATCTCTATTTATTAATTATTTTAATATTGACTAATGTATTATTATTGTTAATTTAGTTTTTGTCAGGTCCTATGTGAAGAAATATCCCCTTCTTTGTTCAAATGGAAAATTAAATTAAAAAACATCTGGAAAAATATTGTAAACAACAACAAAACACCTATATTTACCTCCTTCCCCATAATCCTCACCACAGCCTGAGTGAAATCCAATCGCTTAAACAAACACTCGAGATTAAATGACCTATTTGTGTTTATGATTTACTTTATATTAACGTCGCAGACCAATGCTTTCCCAATTTCCTCTACCTGTTTCCCGCCTTGAGCTGCACATTTAATGAGACACACACACACACACACACACACACACACACACACACACACATACCATGTATACATCACTTCAGGGGACATTACATTGACTTACATGCATTTCCTGGAGACTTATCCTAACCTTAACCATAACCAACACATGCCTAACCCTTACCCTTACCCTTACCCTTAACCTTAACCTTAACCTTAACCTTAACCTTCGCCTTACCCTTACCCTAAACCTTAACCTTAACCTTACCCTAACCTATTCTTCACCCTAAAATTAATGATTCCCCTCATGTGGACCTCCATTTTGTCCCCATAAGGGAGGCGAGTCCCCACACGTGACTGTGTAAACAGATTTAGGTCCCCACAGGTATAGTAATGCTAGGCCACACACACACACACACACACACACACACACACACGAACACACACAGCAAATGAGAAAGATTACTGTGTGCATGATAATAACAAACAGAAGCATTAAGTAGGAATGAAATCAGACGTATTTATTTAATAGAGGTTCATTTGGACGCCAGTAGCTACACTCTCTCCCACAACATCACGTGTGCATTGACTTTTCGGGCCTGACATGGTGCCTTGCTTTCTCTTCAGCTTTCCTCAAAAGACCCCCGTAGCCTCGGAGCACTTTATGCAAAGTTAATTTACCCAAATATATCATGGCGGCTGCAGCCCCCGCTATTCAACATCAACAACTTTGTTAATGGAAACTTGCTGATCCATAAACGCCGCCGTTCGCTGGGGGGCAGTTCACATATGAATGTTAAAAACCCTCAGATCGATGAGGGGCATTTGCAAAGGAGGCATAAGGTGTGTTTAATTATAACTGCGTCGGGAGGTGTGTGTGTGTTGTTGTCGGGGGAGGGGTTGCTGTTAAAGGCATGCAGGGGCCTCCGTATTTAAATAGGGTCACATCTCGGCCTCACCTTGCAAGTGTTATGCTTTATTAAATGCCACTCATGTTAAGTGCGTTGAAACCCTCCTCCAATGTAGTCAGACATAATATAAAGGTTACATTGAAAAATGTCCCTTCAGCGCCATGATTGATCTCCCGTGTACAGGCAGGCAAATGTGAGACCTCGTGTTACGTCTCTTTTAACTGTGTGAATACCGTGTGTATAATCAGGATTAGGATTTAAGTGTCAGTCAATCAGGATTTCCAAAGGTCAATGAAAAAATTAAGGAAATGTTTGCAGAAGGGGGTGCGAAGGCTTTTTGTTGTACAGCAGACATTCATAGTGGCAGAAGCAAAGGTGTTATTGATATTTTTGTTTAAATTTGCACTATGAAAGATGCTATCCGAGCTAGAAGACCTTCTCTATCTTTGTGAGAAACGTGTAGGTATCTTGTGGAACGATAATGTACATGTATTCGATTCCTTAGATTTATTAGATTAGATGCACAAAATGACACTTGCTGTACTGTATGTAAAGCACTTTGAATTGCCTATGTGTCTTAAAGTGTGCTTTACAAATAAACTAACCTTAAAAAAACATTTCAAAAACATCCCTGTAAAGACCCCTGTTTTTTAAACTGTAAACATGTGTATTACTTGTTTTTCTGCATTTGAAAAAATTATATTTTACACTTATTTTATGTTTAAATGCCTAAAATGTTGTGGTGATTTTTTTTTCAATGTGCTATCTTTCATTTAAGACATCACATTTACATTTGTTGCAAAGGTAAGGATTCTGCACTTTGAGAATATGAACTGCTAAACTGTGTACTTTGACAATCAGTATGTAGTAAATACTGTAAATAATGTGTTATGGATTTTGGACACGCTGACTTTGTGCCTTCATTGATTGGTCAAAATGCCTCTGTAATAAAGGTCTGGTGCCAACTTAGTTAAAACAATGACATGTGTTATTCCTCGTTGATAATGTACTTAGATATTAAAGTTTCATTGTGCAGAATATTTTAAGTGATGAGTTTAATACTAGGACATTTGTTTTCAGCAACTGTATTCATACACATCTTTTAAAAGCATCATAGATTTTTCAACGAGTGACAGGAAGAAGATGATTTTAAATGTCAAATAGACTTTACTTATATAGCGCTTTATCAGGTTTACATGCTACGAGTCATTCACACGTTCACACCTCATCCATGCAGAGCAGTACCACTTGCTCTAGGGAAGCTAACACGCACGCACGCGCACGCACGCACGCACGCACGCACGCACGCACGCACGCACGCACGCACTCACACACACACACACACACACTCACTCACTCACTCACACACACACACACACACACACACGCACACACTCACTCACTCACACACTCTCTCTGCTACACAACACACACCACAACACAATCACCTCACACTCTCACAACACGCCCACACACACACACACACACACTACACCCACACACACACACACACACCTCTCACACACACACACACAACACACACACACACACACACACACACTCACACACTCACACACTCTCTCACACACACACACACACTCTCTCTCACACACACACAACACACACTCACACTCACACTCTCACACACACACACACACACACACACACCCACACACACACCCAACCACACACCACACCACACACACCACACACACACACACCACCTCACACGCACACCACACACACACACACACACACACACTCCACACACACACCACACACACACACACACACACACACCACACACACACACACAACACACACACACACACACACACACACACACACACACACACACAACACACACACACAAACACACACACTCACTCACTCGCTCTCACACACCAAACACACACACACACACACACACACACACACACACACACACCCGTGCCCGTGACAAAAGGAATAATTGAAGAAAACTTAATTTGTGGAAAACTAGTATTTTGTATGTGTCTTAAAAAAATAGCAGAAATTACAAATAATGACAGTCGGCAGAGGAGTCAGAATAAATACTTATTTTATGAAGAAAAACCATCTCAACTTGTGATCATCTGACTCTAAATAATCCAATCATTTTTACATAATCTGATTTAAATCAATTCCAGCACAGCATACTGCTCACAGATCTCATGTATATAGAGAGTAACCTAGTCTATGTCAGCACTGCACACACAGTATGATGACAACATGAACGCTTCACCCTTCACATCTTATCTTCTGGATGTCTGCATGATACTTTCTTTAAGTTACGTTCCTCTCCATCCCACTTACTGTACCTATAAATGTTCCTCCAAGTCAGTTTTAGAGTCTTCTCTCGTAGGGTTCCTCCTCTCGTTGGATGTCCTTGTGATACCTCCCAGTTGTGGACATACAGAAGGAATGGGATTAGTCTCTGCTTCACCTGCAGCAGGGGTGTCCAAACTACGGCCCGCGAGACATTTTGAATCGGCCCTCAGCTAATTCAAAAAGTATAATGAAACATGGCCCACAAATGAAACTTGTGCTTGTCTTGTACTTCTTAAATATAGATGAAAACACATATTACACAGTAGTATTCATGTGTTACGAAGACATCTTAAATACATTCAGTCAGTTAAAGCTGAAAACAAATGTTAGTTGGTAAAAAAAAGCCCAATAACTTATTTACTTGAAATAAACTCTTCCTATTTCCTCTTATGATAAGCAATCTGAGGCTTCTGTTTTAAGGAATGAGCTGCTAACACAATAAATGAAACCCTCTGGAGAGCTGTGTTTTTTAAAAGCATATTCAAATATGAAGCATAATTGACCTACATTGATTTTGCTAACTGAACTTATGAGGCAATATACCCCGTCTTCAGAGAGTCCCAGCCCTTCCTATATTTTTCTGTTTGTGGCCCTCGGTGAAAAAGGTTTGGACACCCCTGACCTACAGAGTCCAGAAGTGCAGGTTCAGATGTGGTTGAGGCTCCAGGAGGTGTACGGGGGGTCCGGCTGTGAGGAGGGTCCCGTGGGAGGATCTGATCCCGAGGAGAGGAGGGTCCGGAGTGGACAGGATGTAGTCAATGCTGAACTTGATCTCTGATTCTGGTTTCTGGGTGTTGTTTGGGAGGAGGGGGTCCGGCCTCGGCCTCTCAGGGTTCAGAGGGCAGAGGGGGGTCTCTGGGCGCCGGGATGGGGGTACGTGTTGATCGCTGTGGATCTCCAGAGGCTGGAGGAACGAGGTTTCTGCTGAATCTCTGAAGCCGATCTTCATGTTCCTCCTGCGCCGGCGACGCCGAAAGTTTCCGTTTTCAAACAGGTCGAGCATGGACTCACAGCCGGTGGCAAACGTCCAGAAGTTTCCCTTTCCCTTCTCGTTGCCCTCCGTGCGAGGAACCTGCAGAACATGGGAAGAACACTTATAATGATTAAAATCACACAAACAATAACAGTACGTTAGAAGAAGGACACACTGTTTTACTTACTGTGACTTTTTCAACACACAAGTTTCAAGTTTCAAGGCTTTTATTGTCATGTGTGCATAGCTACAGTGTAGTTATGACAATGAAACTCTTAGGTCACAGGCTCCTCCAACAGAGCAACACAATAAAACAGATAAAATAGTACAAGTAAATTAAATAGAATATAATAGAAATAGTGCAGAATAGTCTATATACAGTAATTGGAATATTGATATATGAGTTGCAAACAGATGCATGTTATGGATGTGCTTTCAAAAGTGCAGGTGTTCAACAGTCTTACACTATACTTTGAGTTGTGTGTGTGTGTGTGTGTGTGTGTGTGTGTGTGTGTGTGTGTGTGTGTGTGTGTGTGTGTGTGTGTGTGTGTGTGTGTGTGTGTGTGTGTGTGTGTGTGTGTGTGTGTGTGTGTGTGTGTGTACCTTGATGAAGCAGCTGTTGAGGGACAGGTTGTGTCTGATGGAGTTTTGCCAGGCTCTCTGGTTGGAGCGGTAGTAAGGAAACCTCTTCATGATGAACTCGTAGATCCCCGACAGAGTGACGCGCTGCTCGGGGCTCTGCTGGATCGCCATGGCAATCAGGGCGATGTAGCTGACACGCACACACACACGCACACGCACACGCACACACACACACACACACACACACACACACACACACACACACACGCACACACACACACACAAACTTTAGTCAGGCAACACCGTGACATTTTGACAGTAGGAAATCTCTTAACTCTTTGATTTGTTGACAAAAAGTATGATTTTTTTCCAGATATTTCGACATACTATAATATGATTTATTTCCAAATCACAGTCAAATGTGTCATAAATGTTTATTGTCTTCTCTTCTGGCCGTATGTAAGCCACAAATACCATGCACTTATTTAGTGGTGACCTTCACCTTTGAAAGAAACTGGATTTAACTATTTCGAGCCTACGACACAACCCTTTAATTACCATAATGAACTCTAATTATAATAAGTAAAACGGACAGTATGAACTTATTTTGAAAGAACTCCAATAACAAATATCTCATCACTTGTTTGGGTGTTAGACTGCGCAGATTATAGATACATTTTCACTGTAAATTCACTTCATTCATTACATGTGACAAAATATAACTGTTACATTTATAAGGATTGAATAACTAGAAGGTTTGATTTGAACAGAGGCACGTAGTCACAAAAAACTGGATGTTGTGTATATAAACACGTTCATATTTATTTCGACAAAAGACTGTAAAATAATAAAACCACTTTAAGAACAATTTAATGATAAAAGTCAACAAAAAAGTTAATCTTTAGTGCACCACAAAAGGGATATTAGCCACCCGAGTCAAAATAGGACACAACTGTTCAAAGCGACGTATATTGGTCATCATTTCTGTAATAAATATATCATAGTTATTGTTTTAAAAGCCACTGTGTTATACGGGAATACCATACTTGTGTACAATGTTGAAACTGAAGTTGCCTATAAAGAGAGATTAAAAAACTGAAGGTTAGTTTAGCCTAAACTGTCAAACTTCAGTGGGAACAAATCTTTGACAAACACTTTGAAATTGGAAGAAATAAACAAAAATATAATATAAAATGTATTTATTTAAAATGTCACTTTAAATAATTTCAATAAAGCTCCTCACCTGTACGCAGGTCGGCACATCTTCTTCTCCTCGTCCGTGCTGGAGGAGGGGTATCCGTCCCCATCGTAGTTGAAGCAGTTGAAGGGGTAGCTGGAGTTATTGAACATTTTTAGTATTTGAGGAGTGGGCTCTGACCTGTGAGAGTGTCCCGGCCTCGGCCCTGCACCCGTCCTGCTGCTCTGCTCCAGCACCATGATCTGCTCCACCAGCTGACTGTGAGCTGCTGACGGGACGCCTGAAACCCCCACACACACACACTCTCCCACACACACTCTCCCCCCTCTCAGTGATCGGCTGCAGGACCTCCTCTCTGACGGATTTACACTCTTAATTCTCATCAGATTTATTTTCAGATTCAGATCCAAGAATCTAGATTTCCTCCTGCAAACACCTCGACTAATTTTGTGTATTTACAGCCAATGTTTAGACTGATTAAATACATGTTTTGGGACTATTTAGTCGTTGATTATTTCAGATTTTAACATCATTTTGGGGGCATTTTGTGGATTGTTGAGTAGAACATGAATATTTCCTATACATCATTTTCTGTTTTGAACATTGAAGATTGCAGACTGTATGTCTCATCAAATTAATGTACCATAAAAGAATATACTTTAAATCATATTACACTCTAAATCTAAAGACTGTATCTAGGTAACAGAAGATATTCATACACACATTCTACTTCCTTGGATAATAAGCAATAGTGTTGACACTCTACATATGGCTTAAGGGATGAGAGGATAGTATTTTAACACAGTCTGCTAAACACTCACAATAAGATGTTCATAACATTAAGATTTATTTTTCATGTCTTTTATTGTGAGATTCAAATGTGTTTAGCTTGTTGCTACTGTAACCTTTAGCCGTTAGCTTCAAACATAAAAGGGGATCAGGCTACAGGGGTCCGCTAGCTCTTTAACTTAACACCTCCGTAATAAAAGTAAAACTTGTAATAATTAAACCCACATTGATGCTGATTCGAGTCACATGACTTGAGGCACCTTAACAGGTTCACCTTCCCAGAATAGCTTTAACACGTGAAATTAGTAGCATGTCATTTAACCTTGTACAGTGCAGACAGTCTCACAGTAGCAGTCTGATCGTCTGTGTGTGTGTGTGTGTGTGTGTGTGTGTGTGTGTGTGTGTGTGTGTGTGTGTGTGTGTGTGTGTGTGTGTGTGTGTGTGCTGGACCAACACCTCCCCCCCCTCCAGCTGCATTCTGGGTGGTCCACTTCATGTTTTATTTTGCCTCTTTTATAGCCTAATCTCTCGAACTGTACTTAAAACAGCTATCCCCAAACCAACAAACAAGATCCCTTTGCATCTGTGTGTGTGTGTGTGTGTGTGTGTGTGTGTGTGTGTGTGTGTGTGTGTGTGTGTGTGTGTGTGTGTGTGTGTGTGTGTGTGTGTGTGTGTGTGTGTGTGTGTGTGTGTGTGTGTGTGTGTGTGTGTGTGTGTGTGTGTGTGTGTGTGTGTGTGTGTGTGTGTGTGTGTGTGTCTGGCAGACATTTAGTCAACAACGGGAAGTTTTGGAGATGCTATCTATAATGCACTGTAATGGCCATAAATTGTTTCCGTGTCTGCAGAATGTGTTTTGATGTGAGCGGCGGGGGGCAGTCGGAGGTCTCCCGTGAGGCAGAGGGAAACAGCCCGGGGTCTCGAGGCCTCCTGTGTGGCCCCGCTGCTGCAGGAGGGGCTTCAGGAGCTACATCGGTCCACCAGGGAGACATGGAGCAAATCTGTTTATATTCCTGACAGGCTAATGAAGCAGCTGAAAGGTCATGTGCTCCAGATCAGGAGCAGGAGCAGGTTTGAAAGTGGTTTGATGAAAAGCTGTGGTGCAAATTGTGTTCAATTAAACTGGATTTGATATCTGAGATGTCTAAGTCTTTCTTGTATTGTTTCTAATTATTTTTTCCTAGCAAAATGTGGTTTTGCTGTTAAAGTTTGATGAAGGCTTCCAACTTTACCAGCTTTAACAAAAGGGACCGACACATACATTGGTGATCGGTGAAATGTAAAGGTTCTTTCTCGGCCAATGCTTGAATGCTGAATTTGTTTTTGATGAACAGGTGCCATATTAAATAGTAGAACATTAAAAAGGGGAAACAAAATATATATGAGACGCTGTGACTTTTTAACATATTTGATGACATAATATACACATTTTTGCTTAATTAACTTAACAATGAAACAATATTCATTCATTAAAAGAGAAACTGTCAGGTGCTGGGCCTCCTCACTCCAGACTAGATTGATTCATAAAAAACTGTAAATGAAGGAACAGAGAGGAAGAGGAGGAGAGGAGGAGATGAAGAGGAGAGGAGAGGCGAGGAGGAGAGGAGGAGAGGAGAAGAGGAGGAGAGGCGAGGAGGAGAGGAGGAGATGAAGAGGAGGTCTCAGTATCAGTTGTCTGACCTCAGATCAGATTAGCGCCTCGCTCCCATGACGAGGTTTCCTCCTCTGGTCACTCTGATGTTGTCTCAGACTTCCTCCATTCATAGCGCTGTCTACCAGTGTGTGTGTGTGTGTGTGTGTGTGTGTGTGTGTGTGTGTGTGTGTGTGTGTGTGTGTGTGTGTGTGTGTGTGTGTGTGTGCGTGTGTATGCATTCATGTAAACTTAGCGAGTGGTGTTTCCGGGGGCTGTTCTGTGAGGAAAGGTTATGAAAACACAGCGGTGGGGGGGGGGGGGAACAGTAAACACACACAGAGCGGCTGAGGGCCATTTTCTGTGCAGCCATCCTCAGCGCCTCGCTCTCTGTTAATGACACCCACTGCGCTAAGATAAGGTGAAGACAAAGATATGTAACTATTGCTCATGCCTGGGGAGATAACGTACATAGATGCATTACATTTCAGTTTTTTTTAAACTTTCTGATCAGCTATTGGTTTCTCCATTTTCATTCAGACGGTATTTAAACAAAGCAAACCCGCATACTTCTGATAAAAAACAGACGCGTTATAACATTCTGCTTATTTTAGTTTTATTGCACTTTAACCATGATGCAAAGAAATGAAAACAAAGAAATCCACAGAAAGTTGAATAAAAAACAAAGAAGCGTTTTCCCTTTAAGAACGTCATCTTAAGGTTCTCCATGGATACACACACACGCACACACACACACGCACACACACACACACACACACACACACACACACACACACACACACACGCACACACACACACACACTGACCTGACACAGGGCGATGTTAGTCAGCACACACACATTTATGCACACCTCCCTATCTTTCCTCTCCGCCATGAAACCAGACATTCAAGTATTTCTATCATTGCACAGGCACTAGATTTTCCTACTTTATATATTAACTTTCCTCCAGCGACCGCACCGCTGACAGTTCAAATCTGTCAGCTGTTGGTAATGAATGAAATATACATCCTGAAAAATAATCTCTCCACAACAGCAACATCTGGACATCAAATATATTACAAACAAAACTAAAATATAAAACTATTAAGTGTCACATTTGGCTTTTGGTACTCTAAATCTGTATCACTGAAATAAAGGAACACCGTAGTTTGAATTTAACCAATACTTTTGAAAGTTTTTTAAATACGGAGATTTGACTGAGAGGCGCGGAGCTTTTCCACGTGCTCAGTTCGCCCTCTTGTGGACAAATGAGGAAGTACACCACTGTGTTGAAACAGAAAGTGATTTCAAATAATAAATAGGCTTTTTTTTAAATAAATACTCTTATTTATGGGCAGATAAATCCAGGAGTAAACCTGCACTCCACTATTTCCATCTTGAATACCAATGATAGAAGCTAGAATACAAATAATAAAAGACACTATGCAATAAAACATTTTTTCAGCAAATCAATACATTTGGATAATTAAGACAACGGGAATCTCCTCGTCCACCGTGAACCGAAACACTTCAATACCAACGATACGTATAAACACATAATTCAGCTCGTGAAGAGAGAGGGGGTAACTTTACAAGTCCCTCAGAATTCACTGAATTCAAAAGCAGGGTCCTGAAGACAGAGAGAAGGCGTCTCTTTCAAGACTTTCGTGGTTTCGTAGTGCTTCAGGGTGACGCTATGACACTAGAGTCAGGTGGGGTGTTTTTTTTAAGGAGTCCATGTGTGGGGCTCAGTTCAGTTTGTGACCCCCACCCAGGTTCATCCACACGTCACCCGTGCAGCTCAAGTCAAGTTTGTAAGTCCCATCCAGCAGGCTTCACTTCCAGGCAGCGGTAAAATAAATCCCAGTGCAGACGGAGAGCATCTGAGTTTCAGGGTTTTTTTAAGAGAGAGACCGGATCTACTTTCTGCAGGGAGTCAGTGAGTCGGTCCTGCTGCCAGCGCCCCGGGACAGCTACCTCTGCAGGGGGGGCGGGGCGGCCCCCTGGAGGTCATCCTCCACAACGTAACTGTAGCCCTCCTTCTCTACGCAGTCTGACAGCACATTCAGCACCTAGTGACGAAGAAACACCACAGGATAAGAGAAAAAGGTTAAGTTAATAATAATAATAATAATAATAATAATAATAATAATAATAATAATAATAATAATAATAATAATAATACATGAGATTTCTATAGCGCTTTTCCTCATGCTCAAAGACGCTTTACATACAAGATAAGATATATTGTTAACTTAGGACATTTTGCTTGGGTTATAATGCAACAAACAGATGCAATCAAATAATAATATAGACAATTAATCAATTCATTACTTAATGATTGAAAATGCCTTGTGAGATACAAGATATATAAATGCATTGGGGCTGTACCAAATCACTTTGTTAATACATTTGAAGCATCTATTGAGGTTTCCAAATGAATCTATGGAGGTCTGTTGTCATAATAGACTTTCAATACAAATCTGGGAAAAGTAAAAGCATCGTATGCCATACAAGTTGTCCATAGTCATGGTATGTCACAAACATGTCACAAACATAGATTGTATGCCAATGCCATGTCTTAAAAAGAAAGTCATAACAGTCACAAATAAACAACAACACACACAGTATAAATGAGAGTGTGTGTGTGTGTGTGTGTGCGTGTGTGTGTGTGTGTGTGTGTGTGTGTGTGTGTGTGTGTGTGTGGTGACGACATCTGCTGCTGAGAGCCAAGACGGATCGTTCAACTCAAGAGGCATCGAAGACAAGTATTTTGTGCTTAAGAAGGTTCATTACAGGGGGAAATTATAAAAGTGGTTAAAATATATTTCATTCAACATGTAGTTTTGTAGTGT